TTTTTTTTTTAATAAATATAATCATTTCTTATCATTTTTCTTACCAAGTCGACGTATTGAAAATGATATGTAAACGCAGCGAATTTCAAATATTGAAAAGTTTCAAAAAATGTATTTTATTTTATTCATAAGATATATTTTTGTATGAACAATTCATTATACATTCATTGTATTTAACAATTGATGAAACATTTTCAAATTTTGATAAAAATACAATTTCATCAAGTTATCGTCTATTTAATAAATGTTGAAAGAAGTTTATGTATCTGATAAATTTTTAAATAAAAATGCTAAAATTGTTCATTCTTTCCATAATTGCCTAATTTTTTAAAGAATTTTGAAATCTGAAACTAATAGTTGATGCTTTAAAGGAAAAAAAGGACAGATAAACTGTTGATATTAAAAATGTTTGTCGTATAATTTAAATAAAAATTTCGTAAATTATTTTATATTAAAAATGAAAAGTTTACGAAACAGCAAGAGCAAACAATGGTTTTGAAATTTGTAAATCATTTCAAGTTTTCATTGAATTGAGAAAAACACTTTGTTTATTATATCATTCTAAAAAAAAAAAAATTTTATATGAAACCTTATTTATATTTATATTATTTATATTTATATTATTTATATTTATAAATTTTATATTTATATGAAAAATTTATATTTATATGAAACCAAAATATATTATCCTTTAATTTGAATTTAGACAATATTAATTAATGTAAGAAAGAATAAAATATGAAAATGCATGAGTATAAAAGCAAAAGAAAGCATAAAATACTTATTGATAAAAAAAAAACATAAAAAACTGTATTTGACTACTTTTTTTTTTAAACTATCATTTTCCTCCCCCTCTCCTTCTATTTCTTATCAGATAACAGATTTATCATGTCACTGACCATAACCTGACAAATAATGCTAATTGTTCAAATGACAGCAGATGAATATGATCGTCCATATTTTTATTCTTATCATAATATATATCAAATAATTAATTACTTGTAACTCGTCATATTTTTTTTCCAACATTCCTTCCATATTGTTTTACATTTATTGATTAATTATATTGATCATTGTCATCAATCATATCGAACTTTACGATGTTTTGACAATGGTAATAATTATATCATTTATTGTAATATTTCTAACACAGAAACAGAATATTTCTATGATTAAAAATGTTTAATGATTTGAAAAAATTCAAAAAATGCTATAAAATAAAATATTTTTGATATCCATTATCGATTGAAAATAGAATATGACGTAATTTTATAATTAAAATTAATACTATAAAATATAATAAATTAATATTGTAAAATATGTAAAAACACATAAATGGAACATTTCTCTAAATGCAACAATAGTTTGACAAATTATTTGTAATTAGTGAAGTGTTTCAATTCCCTTTTTTTTTTGTTATGGCTAATTAGGGTCAAAGTTCACACATTTATATTTTATAGCAAAAACGAAATTGATTTAATAAATAAACAAATAAATTTATTAAAAATGATAAATAAAGTGTCATTACGAACTAAAATATCATCAGAATTATTCAATGAACATTTATTTCATTTAATTAAGATGTCACTATGAAGCTTATTTAAAGTCTTAAAATTTGAAATGATTTTTTCATTTTGTCACAATATTAATTAAAATGATTTCACAGATATTTTTTAAACAAAATTTCAGTAAACTTCATTGTTTAACATTTTAATACATATATTAAAATGTAGCAAATTATTTCTCTGAAAATTATCCAATAAAGTTTAATTCAATTGTAACTTCAGTTGTCATTCCATTTACTTTAATTATTCGCAGATATTTCTTACAAATATTTCATGATCCTGTATCAAATACTTTTATTATCACTACAATAAGGATTAATCATTTTCCTAAAACTAATCCTAAATCTTTCTTATCTTTATTTTGCTTATCTTTACGTTTAACAGTATCATTAAATGCATTATCACATCTATCATTATAACCATATATTACTGTAAATGATTGATTGTTGAATATATTCTTATTCGATGTCAATTTAGGTAAAACATATTTCAGTTGAACTAGTGAAAATTATGGTAAATACGGAAAATAATAGTATTTTTTTTTTTTGATTAAGACATTGTTTTCCAGAACCATTATTAATATATTTGCTAAGCATATTGGTTAAATTAATTAATTAAGACATAAACTTGATATTATTAATTACAAATCCAAGAAGCAAATGCTATAAGATTGATTGCTATAAGAATCTTTACATCAATCTTATCTTCATTTATGATAAAAAAAGAAAAACGAATTTCATGAAAAAAACTGATTTAAAAAATTTTACTTTTGAGAATAAAAGTAAAAAAATTTTTTGCAAAAAATTGAGAAAAAAAGACCGAAAAGGTCATGAATATCTAATTGAATATCTCATTTCAAATCAGTACTGATATGCATATGATTCCGAAATTTAAGCTAACATTTTATTTTGTTCCACTTTCCAACTTTTCTCACTATCTGATTCAACAAAAATGATCCATTTTTTTTCCTGATTACCAATTAAAATTTAACATTCTCCAAATTTACTTACCCAGATATTCACAACACCCACTTATTTATCACCTGTGAAATTTACATTAAACATTTACTGCAACACTAAGGTACCTATCCTATCATATTTATTAATAAGAATTTGCTTTTTTCATATTTTATCGCTATTATCATTCCTTACTTTACAACTATTTTTTTTTTTTTTATCACTTTAAGATCCACTTTTTTTTCTTCCCAGTGGAATGATATGAATTTTTGTCAATTAAATGAAGAAAAACAAATGTAATTATTACAGTTTTAAAATGTAAACGAACTTATTAATTTTTAACTTACTCTCAGAAACAAATTCCTCCAATTCAGCAATACTATTTCCAGGTAGTACCATTCTTTATTAGGAATAAATTCCTCTGATCCATTAATGTTATTTCCAGGAGGTACCATTCTTATTAGGATTAAAAGTGTTATGCAAATGTTGAAAATAATTTATTTCTCCAATCCTTTTTTCGATACTGTAAATTTCAAAAATATTCAACCATTCTAGTTGAATTAGCTTTCAGTATATCTTATTAATTTAAATTAATTCATTTATAATACAAAATTCTGCTAACTAAAATTCCTTCGTTTCTCATATCATTCTTATAGAAATCGACATTTAATGCATTAATGCAAGAAAATCTTCGAGGAACAATAACATTTCCATTATATATTGATAATTAAAGACTTTTCAATATTAATTTGTTAATTAAGTTTCTCCCAAACACTAATTGCTACTAATTGGAAATAATATCGCAACCATAATTTGCTATTAAAGCAAATAAATGGGATAGATTTGAATTCATGGAAATGACATCCATGCTTAATATAATGAGTGGAAAATTAATTAATTAAAAAGTAATTTTTTTATTTTTGTTAAAAATTACTGAAAATAGCCAACTGAACAAAAATATTTCCATCAAAATAGTCAAAATGTGCAAATGTTTAACGTTCAAAATTTTTTTTTTTTTGCTTTATTTTTGTTTTTCTAACTGTTTTAGAAAATATCTCGCAGTTAATGCTTATTTTTTAATAGAAATTTAATAGTTAAAATCTCTCGCAAATATTCTTTCATTTGATAAAATATTGGTACAAGTAATTAATGGCAGCAACTTAATAAAAACCTAATTTAAATGTAAGCTAAACGGTATTCTAGCAACAAATCCGAGTAATTGTTGTAAATGAAAACTGATGGACAAATAACAGCCTTTCTAGATTTCTTGAATCAAATTTTTTTCTAATAATCCAGTTATAAAGTTTAATTAGTATTCAAACATTTGATAAGTTGTTTTAAAACACTTCGGTAGTA